CGTTTCTGTTCAGCTTTCATCGAAGCTTTCACCAGACAGACTCGCCGGAGAAATTAACTGCGACGGTTGTCTAATTCGCCGGGAAAATCATTTGATCATTGTAGGTAAATTGAGAACAATTTCGCTACTTTCTCAGATTTTGCAAGAAATTTCACATTTTTCTTCTGGTATTTTGTCAATTTTCGGCTTCATATTATCAAATTCATTGAATCTTCAATCTAATTTTCTCTCTCTTTTGGATTTTCAGTTCTGTACAATGAAAAGTCTCTCTTTTTATACTTAATTTGATTCTCTTTTGGGTAAATTCTTCAGCTTGGACAATCAATCGGAGAAACTTCTGAATGTCGTCGTCTTTAGAGCAAGAAATCTTCTTACAGTGGGGAAACAAGAAGAGATTGAGATGTCTAAGAGCCAAAGACCAACAAATCTCACGGGAATCTAATTCTTCTTCAGTTCGTCGGAAAAACACTTCTCGGTTTCTAGGTCATGAAACTTTCCTCCTTCAATCCACAAGATTCTCCAGGTAAAAAAAAAAAAACAATCACAAAATTGCTCAATACTAATCTTGGAATTGAAGCCAAGACTCAATTTTTTTGTATTGGGTTTTTGATTTTTGTAGAGGATCAGAAGGGACAATCCTCAGATCTGGACAAGGAGATCGCCGGAGATCGTCGCCGGAGAAAGAAGAGAGGTATTATGCTACAAGAGGTGTAGTGGAAAACATTGGGAAGCTTTGCTTAGATGGGAATAATGGGGAAGATGGCAACAACAAGGAAGAAGAGAGTATGTGGCCGAAGCTGTTTATTACATTATCAAGCAAAGAGAAAGAAGAAGATTTCATGGCTATGAAAGGTTGTAAACCTTCACATAGGCCTAAGAAGAGAGCCAAACTCATCCAAAGAAGCTTACTTGTGAGTGTTTCAAACCTCAGTTCAATACTCTTTTCTCTTCCGGAAAAAGTGTTTATTGAGAAAATCTTTTGTTGGATTTGTATACAGATGGTGAGTCCTGGAACATGGTTGGCTGATTTGTGTCCAGATAGATATGATGTTAGGGTGAAGAAGAGCTCTAAGAAGGTATTCACTTTTAACCTTTCCATTCCAAAGATTTTCATAAATTAGATCTATTGAGAACTGGTTAAGACCATAGCAA